CCAGTTCTCAGACATTAGATCAACTTTTTAAAGTCAAAAGTCTTGACACTGAACAAACTGGTTTCAAAGACATTCAACATTTAACTGGGAATAAGTCCCTCTGCCATGGTAGATTTATTTGTGAGTGGAAATGCAGAGGATTGCACCAGTAGTGATTATAGCTTGTATTTCTTATATTGTAAGTTGTGCATATAATCCCTTTCATCCCTTTCATCTTAAAATTACTAGCATTTTGTTGCATTTTTTTGTTTCTGCATAACTACTAAACTGCTCATTTTGAGAATAGTATACTCTAGAAATGGGACCTCATGTCTTTCACTGAGAACATGGCTGCCATTTTTTCCTGAATTGATTCTCCTCACCTGATCCAACCTAGGTTAAAAACAACTTCTGCAGAAATCTCTTGGATTAAAACATATCAGAGAAAGACTAGTTGCATTTCTCTCACCAAGAATTACCCAACCTCATAAAAATATGTTTGTTTTATGAAATCTCTCATCTTTGAATATTTGGCAAATAATTAATTCTCATCATATGAAATCATCATATAGGATGGAATTCTTAAGGAATCAATATTTAATAATTCTATGCCCATATTAATTAAAAGCAAGACACTATTTCTAATCTATTCTCTACTTGATTCGGTTGGAGTCAGTTTAATTCTAGTGCCTAGACTGAATTTTATCTTGCTAACCTAGTATACTGTAAAGCTTACACATTACAATAGTTTTATAAGTTTTTCTATAGCCAAGGTAAAAGTTATGAATCATCACATGTATTTATTTATTTTATTAACATTGCATACTTTTGTCAACAGTTGTATTTTCACAAATTTGGAGAGATATAAATTAATTTGTCACACATGGCAAATCCAAAGGAAATCAATGGGATTCAACTCTAGAGAATTCAAAGTCATAGAGAAGTCATAGAGAAAATTTGGCAAGACTATTAGAAATTTCTTTCAGGATGTTCAGATGCAATTCATATAGCTTTGTGGGCTTGTACTCATTCAAGTTCAGTATGTACTTCCAGATCACATTTTAATCAAACATCCTGTTGTTCAAAATTAAATGTATTAGAACATTTACTAAACAATGACATGAGTTGAATAATCCCATGCTTATTTTATTATTTGCTATGTGTCCTTTTGCTTTGTTCACTCTTGCATACACTTCATCATTAGAACAAAACATGGCTATGATAGAAGATCATTGGAGTGTTCTGCAATCAGTGCACACCAATCTATCTAAAATAAAAGGTGTATAAAACAATGATACATGCAATAACTTTACTTGGTGTTGAGTGCTGGCCAACCACCAAATGCATTGAGAGCTCTGTACATGCCACAGAGATGCACATGCTTAATTGGTCATTAGGTGTTTCTCTTCTTGATCATGTCAGCAATGACTCAGTATGGCAGCGCATGGGCATTGCAGCAGTATTTGAGAAGATGTGGGTGAAATACCTACAGTGATATGGTCATGTCCTACCAGCAGCACCCCACACTATTGCTTGCATAATCTTCCACTTTAACACAAATGGCAAACGTCTGCATGGAAGGCCGAAGCAAAGATGGCAAAACACAATAAATGCAACCCAGTTGGATTTAGATGCTGCATTTGAACATGCAAGATGGTGTTTTGTTGATCCCAAAAGATGATGTTATATCCTTTTGCCATATTCACTCTTGAATATAGATGAAGAGCCCCTTTTTGTTGTTTGTAGTATCCTTCTCCAACCTCTGTTCACTCTTCAGTTTAGGGTTTCTGCCTACAACTGTTTTAAGCTGAAAGGAAGTATTTGTCAGGGTTCTAGTCCACACACCCAATGGAAAATTCCAAGACAGGCATGTTCCTCAAAATATAGATTTATTAGGCATGTCATATTGGCACATCTGGGGAAAACCTGACCCTAAAGGACCCAAGGTTTTCCCCACCCAAATCACACCCCAAAGTTTTCCCCCTCAGGTCACATGTCCGTTCCATGGTCCATCCAGGTCACAGCCATCATCCTGGCTGGCTTTGGTCCATGCTTCTCCAACATCTGGTAGAACGTCCTTGGCTCCCACAGGAAAGAATGCTATTTTGGCTACACATACCCAGTTGTCTCTATTTCCCCACTCTCACAGCCCCAACCAGCCTTGCTCTGGCAGCCCTGAAGATGCTTCCAAAATGGCTTCAGGGCTGACAGTAGTTTTTGCTTAGATATGAGAAATGTTTCCTAATGATAAGAGCTATTTAACAATAGATCAGAGTAACCTGAAATGTGGGGGAAGCTCCTTCATGGAAGGTCTTTAAACAGAGGCTCAATGGACATGTATTTGCCAGGGGTGCTGAGGTAACCTATTCTATATTGGACAGATTATTTCCAAGATTGCTCCCATTCTGTGATTCTCTACTAAGGACAATCTTTCCTGGTAACTTTTCTATAATAGAATGCTCATCATTATGACCTGGAAACTGAGTGTAACTGATAATGGCTATTACAGGTTTCATTATAATGTGGATTATTAATGTTTTGCAGTATTTAATTATGAGGGGTTTTGCAATATTTCATTGTGCTTCATTTTTTGTATGAGAAAGACATGCAGCAACAAGAATGTAAAGGAAGCCATATACCAGCTTTCATTTGTTGTGCATTACTTAGGAATGAAAAGCAGAAGTGTTATTAAGGAAAAAGAAAGTTTGTGTTGTCCTGATAATAACAATACTATGTGAGGAAATAAGATAGTCCTGACAAAATATAGCATTATGAATTATAACATTGTGAAAATTTGTCTACATTTTGATTTTGCTGTATGCTCCTGGAATAAAAATTTTTATCCCAACTCTTTATTACCTGCTTCAGAATAGATTTCTGCCAAGGGCTGATATATTATTTTAGATGGTTTGGAAAAAGATTTGCATGTACTTAGATCCAAAGACATTTAACTGTATTCAGGAGATGTGACAAAGAGAGAGAAAATGTTACTTTTCAGTCATACATATAGCATTCAGATAATCTTGTTTTGTACTTTAAAAAGAATATAATAGCTATTCCAGTGACTACAGAATAAGTAATTTCTTGAGTGCTATTGTGAAAAGAGGGGAAGGAAAGAAGTATGCAATACAGTATCAAATAGTAGTTGCTATTCATCCTGCATAATCATGCAGAATGCGTACAAGCATGTTGCTCAAGACTCCTGAACTTGTAGGCAGTGGTTTGTTCTATTGATGAATCATTTAATGTACCAAGCTATCGAATCATGGCTTGACACTGACTCTGATGTTGGTAAGAGCAGTTGAAACAAACAATTCACCCATTTCATCTATCAAACCTAAATAGAAATAATAGAAGCTTTTGGTCTTCTTGCATATAAGAATTTTATCTGTCAATTTTGTTGAAGTCCTCAAAATGATTTCATTTTTTTAAAGATAAAATATCATTAGCATTTCATGAAAGATTTTCCATTAAAAACAAAACAGCTAAAATTATTGCAAAAGGATGCATTTGAGCCATGGTTTGACATGTTCTCTGTACTATCCAACATCCTTAGATGTGGAAACACTGCAATGCAGAAATAAGAGCAACTGAAGTAATGTTATTGGCACAATCATTGACTTAAAATTAATTGATGACACTATATCCTTATTATGTGGAAAGGGCTGTGTAAGGATAATATCCATCTAGAAAGCTAGCAACTGATTTTCCCCCTGACTAAAATACATTCAGATCAGGGAAAGTAATTTATTTAGATCCTTAAAAGCATAGAAGTTTGGGGGGTTGTGGAAACATGACCTTAGTTGATTAATTTGCTCTCTGTGAAATATTTTTGGTACGCTTTATACAGATAGAAAATATTTCAAATTTTACTGAGATATCTGGGAAGGGAGTGGATAGATTTTCCATTGTCCAAACCTATTATATTAGAGCTCATATAAACTTAGTTTTTGACTCTCTCTCTGCAAAAAGAACAAACTATGAAAGAGGGAAGGGGGGGCAATGCAGGGGCCACCTTGAAAGTAATGAATGTATCTTGGTTCGCCAAATTTTTCATACTCAAAGCTTTTTGTTTGGGGATGCCTGCTGGTGGCATATTTTTGGAGGTTTGACTGACCATGCGAAAATAGATTTAAACCAATCTCTGCTCAAACTTTTACCTTAATATTAAATATTTCCATGTTAATGGAATCAGAACTGGAAACAGTAGGTTTTCCTTGTAGAATTGCTCTAGAATTTCTTGCCAATGGAAGCCTTACTCCCAATGTGAATAGAATATGCATATCTAGGAGAGGGGACATTCTGATTGGAGCCACAGGAGTTTTCAAGGATTGAGTATGATTCGTACTCCTAGTTGTGGCTAAATAACAACAAAAACCAGGCATAAGATTAAGAGAAACATAATGCCGAATTTGGCTAAAAATGCTATTGGCAAAAACATGAATCATTGTGTGGGTTTGGTTTTTTATATTTAAGATTGAAGCATATTATATACTTCAATCCCCAGGCCATGGCCAAATACCAGACTGTAGCCCATTCAGAACTGAATTGCATGAGCAGTGGCAAGCATCCAGGCCTGGGCAGCTCCACTTGTGCGATTGGTGGGCACTGGCACTCACATCCCGCCCCCCAGATCCATCAAGCCGGAAAAGTTGGGAACCTCTATATTATATCAAGTGCATTTTATTATGCTTCCATTTTTGTGTATTGGAGTTATTTTTGTACATTACTTCTGCTTTCCACTGAAATTAGCTGGAAAAATATGTAGTAAGATTGAAATGTTATCTTTGCTCAAAAATACTTTAATAATCCATGCCTAGTTTTAACTTTAATTTAATTAGAGTTTTAAATGTGTTGCTATTTTATATTTATTTATGATTTAGACACCAAAAATAAAAACTTTGTAAAAACAAGTGCATTTGTTTTGGAATATAGTCTAGGGTGTTACTGATGGTGTATGGTTTCTTCATTTAGGACTAAATCTGATTTTTATGCACTTTCTTTTCCTTCTTTTTCTCTAGTGGCAGATGAAAGTAAAGTTGTCTTATTGACTGCTCAGAAACGAGGTAAGATCCCCCCCCCCTTAGTTTTACCATATTTGCAATTAAAATATTATATAAAATAGAGTTACTTAAATCCTATTCAGGGTAAATCTCTAATCAATAATGGAAAATTAAGCTTTTTTCTGTTTCTAGGATATTGACTGAAAATTGAATAATTTGCAAAAGCAGCAGTTATATGGCTTTTTAATTAAAAACAATTATGTGTTCCAAGTAACAGTTAAAACTAAAAAGCCATTTAAAAGGAGGCTAGGGAGGAAAGGAAAAACATGGTGATAGTGGTAGGGAGTTTCATTAGGAGCTCATTGCTTTGGGGGATTATTTTTAGTGTATTATGTTAATGTTTTCGTCTGTCAATATGAGTCAGCTGATTGGTATAGTTCATTCCAGCTATGTAGAATATAGTATTTCCTAGATTTTCAAACTCATCTTCATCTTGACCCTCCTAGATTAGGTAATATGCTGCTGGCAGTCTTGAGTAAATTTGTGTCACATTACATAAACTTGATTCCATTTCTAGATTAAGCACTGATTCTTTCCTTCAGAAGTTCAGTTCCAAGCATAGGTCAGTTCCTAAATAAAACATTACATAACCTTACCTCGCAGTAGTTAACACACAATGGAATTTCCATCTGATCTGAAAAAATAGAAGATTTTTTTTTTAAATAAAAGATTTTTTTGTAATCTTTAAAAAAAAAGATGGTTATGTGTTGTTTCAAGTTCTAGACTGAAAGAATATGATTAAAATGTTATGACCCAAAGCTTCAGTTGCATTTGACCCATATTTTATAATGGAATTCTGGATCACTATAAATACTGCTTTGGCTAGGGGAAAGCATTTGAAAGCCTTATATAATAAGGTCCTGTTCTGCCTTAGCTATTGTAGCATAATTTTGGGATGACTGTTACAAATGTTGAAAACTCTTTAGATTTCCTTCTCTAGAACTGCAAAACATTCTCTCTGACAGAATAATAGAAAATTGCTTACGTCATTTATCCCAAAATATTACAAATGTGAAAAATTTTAACTATTATCTATTGAATTCTAATTAATAACATGGCCTAGGTTGTTGGATTCTATTTCTCATCTCTATCACAGTAATCCTTTTATGTAGAAACATTCTCATAAACAGAATATTTTGTATCTGAGGGGAAAAGTTCACATATATGTAGAAATTAAATGCAGTATAGTCTAGCACAAGTTTAGAAAACTATTTAATTTCTCTTGGAGTAAAAAGCTTTAGATTATTAATACCACAGTGAAAATCTCATAGATAAACATTTTAATGCCTTTTCTATTTAGTTTAGAAACTATATCCTTCTTTTAAAGGATATGTGGAAAGCAACCATTTTGAACAAACTTTGTTATATGTTTTGCAAAATTAAAAAATGAAGGCTACATTGTCTGCTTTAATAATCATGGTGATAATATATTGTGCATAATAAAGCTTTATTTGAACAAAGTAACTGCACTATATTACTGACATTTTTAGTGAGATACTTTTAGTCAATCCTTTTGGCATACAGCAATTTTCATTTCTGTGGTAGAAGAATGTAATCTTTTTAATTTTTCCGACCCTGTAGTTCTTTCCTTTGCCTTCAGTGTACAAAAGATTATTTTTCGATTTGAAATTGAGGGTTTCACCTGGTCTTGTCTTTCATCCTCCTCTCTGAAACCACTGCTAAATCTCAAGCTGAAAATATTTCCAAAAAGTGACTCATCAGTTGGAAATTTTGCCCTGCTACTCAAGACATGGTTTGCAAACGTAGCAGCTGCATTTTGTTTGCCAAAAAATAAATGGGAGCCCATGTTGAAATGAGGCCCACTGTAGTCATAATCATTGGCAAGGACTTGTTTTCAAACCAAACAAGCTCTCATTTCCAATTTCCATACCTGGTCTATGGGTCTCTTTATGCCATTACAGGCAAACTTCAACCAGAGTACAGCTGTGGCATTTAGAGGCATATGATATACAAACATGGATGCATAGGCAAGATAGATAAACAAGCAGACAGAAATGGAAAACACTGTTCCTATCTCTCACCTCTTACTTTACAGTACTCCACTGTTGTCTCAGTTTTGCCATTTCATCATCCCAGGTTGTAAGCAAAAGGCTAGCTCATCTTTTTTTCAAGTTCTTATTTAGCACTGTTTTTAACACAATACTCAAGGAAAACAAAACTCCCACAGAGATCCTGAATTCTGAACTAGCTATTGCTATTGTGTAAAGAAAAGTAATGGTGGTCTAAACAGGAATTGCTGGTTTCCTGGCTTGGCCAAGATTTGACTTAAAGCTAAAAAATAACTTCCACAGCAGCTTCATACAACCAGAAATAGATTCTTAGTAAAGCCAATAATTATTTTTTACAGTTATAAAGTTACCCACTGCCCACTTAGCTTGGGAGCAGCTGAGAAATGGGGAAGATAATAGGAGTGGGTCTGCCAAAATGACCTTATTTCCATTTCTCCCTATATGAACAGTGTGATAAACTCCCAGCTACTAGATGTCAATTAAGGAAGGAAATGAAGCTGGTATGTCAACAGATCTGGTCAAGATCTATAGCTCCAAAGAATTGCTTTGAAGAGTGAGATGGGCGGCATAACATTTTAATAAAATAAATCTGCTCCTCTATAGTAGCCTGATAGAATATCAGGGGAACAGTTTAATCTTGACTACCAAGTGAATGTAAAAACACAATGAAATAAATAACAGAGTAAACAAAAGTATTTTCCCATCAGCATCCATTCCCAGTTTTTTACACTTTCAGACAATACATCCAGTGGGATGCAGCTACACTAGGGTTCCTTTGTAATCTCAGAAAAGTTGTTTTTCACAGCTTTTCTGCCGAGTGTGTTTCAATAAGCCAGGTTTCAAATCAGATTTGGCAACAAAAATGACTATCTTAATTTAACTTGCTATAAATATACAGCTGTTATGGTGGTTATAATAGCATAGATTGGAAGGATTTATGTACAAGCTATTGTTTGTATTGGAAAAATGCTGCCCTTTCCTCCCTTTTATGCAAAGTCACAAATGGGATTCCATTAGCCTCTAGCTATTTGCTTTATTTTCATTTTTCATATGGTTCTTTCTTATTATTTAATGCTTGGAACTTGTCTTAATATGTATTGACTGTCTGCTAAAGTCTCTGCTGACACAGCTCTTTAAAATGATGCAGTAATGGAGAAAAGCTGACGAGTTCTTTATGATCTTTGACATATTAATTAACAAAATGGACTAAAAGGAAGAAACCTTTCCCATTTTCTGTTTTAATTTTCTAAAACACATGTATATTGAGAGTTCTAATGAAGAACTGCAACAAAGGAGTAATATATGTTGGGAAGTTGTACATTCTAGTAGATTAATACATCAATCTCTGCTGGTTTGGGGATCCCAATGCTTACTACATCATATGTCTTTTTTCCAAAAGGGTCTCCTCCTTTTGTAAAGTCATAACGCTGTGTAGATCTGTGCTTACAAAACTACCCTGGAATCTATCCAACATTAATAGTTGCATTTTTGAGGTTCTAAAGTTGAAAATAACTCACAAAGTACTATTTGATATGTTCCTTTCACAGTTATTATCTCCTTTATTATTCAAGGTTTCTACTACAATGCTCACAAGTGACTCATAAAACATAGTAGCTTCTTCTGTATTTTGCAGTAACTGGTTTCAGTGGCATATTGCTGTGATATTATTATTGCCTTGGTGATATGAGCAGCATAGAAGTCTAATAATAAATACTGGGGGCAGAATACAGCCTGTAAATTTTTCTGATCCCTATTTTAAAGCTAAAAGTTGCATTGCCATTACTTGTTGGCTAATATCATGACCCAACTTATGTGTTAGATGAAGATTTTGTTTGTTTGATGTTGTTTTGGTTTAATTTGAAACTATTTTGACTCAGTCTTGTTGGATGAATTTATGTAGAAAAAAATTATGAAGAAAAACCTGTCATTCCACAGCTGCAAATGTTATAAGCTTCTACTCTGTTATATGTTTAGTATTTCTTTTTCCAGCACAAAGCATTCCCAAATCCTTCAGAATTTTCCTAGAGGTCAGCTTCTCCTTAGTGATAATTATGTGTGTGTCCCCGCCTTTTTAATTTTTTTTCCAGCTCTCCAGTATCTTCTCTACAAAGAAATAATGAAAACATTCCAATTTGAAGGGATTATACTTTTATAATCTTATATTTTTCCTAATTGTCTCAAAGGTGCATTTACATTTCTAAAATAGTTAAATAGTTTTTGAAAAGACTGGGAAAATTAAAAAAAAAAAAATCCAACCCTTACTATCCAATGGCAGCTGAGAATGGCATTCTATACTCAGGGAAGAGGCAGTGGTATTGACTAAGATCCTTTCTCATGTATCTTGCCTCATTAGGCCAATATTCCTAGAGATTCCTCAGGAGACACCCTATTGAATAGTCTGCCATCAACTTACTACTGGGCCAGGAAAAGAACTGGAAGCCAGTGCTAATGGCAAAACACTGAAATAATAAAATTGCATTAATTAATCCCAAACAGCCCAGCTGTGCTTTTTTCAGGTATTGAACTTTCTGAAATATATTCCAAAAGAAGTATACATATAATGTAGCATACATATAATGTACTAGAGTAGTTTAATTTCCCTCCTTGTCATTCTCTTAGGTAAATATATTTATTTTTAAAATTTATTTGCCTAAATATCTCTAATATAATACCTCTAATATATTTTTAATATAAATGTAAAATATCTTAAATATAAAGATGCCCTTTATGCTTGCCATTCATTTAGCAGCTTTGCTAGAGTCACTTCTTGTGACTAATAAATGTCACAGAGATGTGATTAATAAATAAAAAATGTTTGGACAAATATTCCATTACTCACATTAGTTAATAACTTAGTTGGGTGCCATCAAGTCAATCCTAACTCTTGCTAAAGTATTTATTCATTTTTATAGTGTTTTTCATTTTTTATTTGACTGTTTATTTTTAACAATAAATAACAATATAAAACA